TATCTTTAGAGTGAATGTTACCTTAATTTACATGGTCGCACTGAAGCTAATTGGGGTTCAACTATTTATAGTTCACCAAATGCTATCGGTTTAATATTGGGAATAGGTAATGTTGGTGATACTTTAAAAGATTTTACTCAATCTGATACTTATTTGAGTCGCGACGCGGGAAGAAATTGGGAAAAAATAAAAAGTGGTCAAAGTTTATATGAGTTTGGAGATAAAGGCACAATAATTGTTGTAATAGACAACGGATCACCTACCAATGAACTTAAGTAAGTATACTGCTTAAATAAATATTTTTATTAAACTTTAAAGTTAATTAATTAACTTTCAATTCTATTTTATATTTTGTCCTCCTCCTCCAAAATATATTTCTCTCAAAATAAAATATAAATAGGTTTAGTTGGAATTACGGAAAGAATTGGGAAAATTTTAAATTTTATGAGAAACCAGTTCGTGTATTAAATCTTATGACCAATCCTAAATTGTCAAGTATGAAATTTGTAATAACTGGAACAATCGTATCAAATGATGGAAGTCAATACGAACCAACAATTATTACTGTTGACTTTACAAATTTGGAAAAAAGAGATTGTTCGTACTTTATTTAATACTCTTATATTCCTTCCTTCGCTTGTTTATTTATTTATTTATTTATTAATTTATTTATATTTTATAATTAATAATATATTTTATAAATTTAATATAGGTTATTTCACTGATTCCACATCTGATTCAAGTAATGATTTTGAATTATGGGATCCAATGGAAGGTTCTGATAACCAATGTTTATTGGGTGAAGAGGTAAAAACTTAAGTATTCATATTTTCATGTTTTCGTATTTTTTTTTTTTTTTGAATGTAATTTTATCATTGTAATGTTAAAATATTGAAATTTATTATTAATTTATTGTTTTATTATTATTATTAAAAATTTTAGGTGAAATATTGGAGACGTAAAGCTGATCGAGAATGTAAAATTAGTGGTGCAAATTTGGATTTGAATCCTAAAACAAAAACTTGTGATTGTAAAAAGAATGACTTTGAATGGTAATTAATTCATTCTATTTAATACAAAAAATGTCATCATTTTCTAAATATTTTTTCGGGATTACCTATTGTTATTATTATTATTATTATTATTATTATAGTGATGCCAACTATTTTCGTGAAAATGGATCATGTGTATTACGAGGTCCTGATCCAGATCGACCCGTTAATTGTCATGGTGAATACAAAGGTAAATCTGGATATCGTAAGATTCATAAAACAAAGTGTATAGGTGGAATAGATTTAGAAAAAGAGGAAACAAAATTTTGCAACATTACAAGTAAGTAAAAAAAATAATAATAATAAAAAGAAAAATTGACATATCACATTCTGATACATAATCGATAATATTTCATTTTTAAATTTAAATTTAGGTACGGGAATAATTAAATCGACGGTAAACCAACTATTTCCTTCCTTAATTAAATTCAAAAAAAAAATAAATAATAATAAACAAATAAATCAATTGAAATTTTAAAATGAACTCCTTTTTTTTTTTTAATTAATTACTTTTTTTAGAAATTATTCGATGCACGAATAAAAGATTACTTTTATTTCAAAGATAACAAGACAGTTATTATTCGTACCGATGACAATAAAGTTTGGCAAAGTAAAGATTCCGGATTTTCTTGGGATACCGTAAAGGAGTTTGAAAATGATGCAATTGTAACAATGGTCCAAAATGCATATTTCAAAGATTCTGTATGTAAATTTTTATTTATTTGTTATTTATTTATTTATTTATTTGATTTGATACCAAATAATTATTTAACATGAATTTTTTATCATTTTCGGGTCATTTTTTAGGCATATTTCATTACGATGAGCAATTACCACTTTTATACGAATGATGGAGGATCAACTTTCAAAAAAATGGATGTTCCGATGGGGCCTAATACTCTTCAAATTCCAATTTTTGATTTCCATCCCGAGCATAAAGAATGGCTCATTTACACTGGTTGCAAGGATTGTGATGAACTATTTTCTTCAAAGTGTCACACCGAAGTACGTGTTCCAAATCATTTTCAACTTTTTTGATTTCATTTTTCTTTAATTTTGCATTTTTTTAATTTTTTTAATTTTTATCCAGGCATATTATACAAAGAATAATGGTGAAAAATGGGATCTTATAGACACATACGTTAGGGTATGCAGTTGGGCAAGAGACGAAAAATTCAAAGTTAATGGTGAAGCTATATTTTGTGAGAGCTATGAGGAAAAATCCGGTTCACAAAGAACATCCTTTAAGAATCCTCGATTCTGTTATTCAAAAGATTTATACAAAGATCCAAAGTGTATAATTGAAAATGTGGTTGGATTTGCTTCGTTCGAAGAATATGTAGTTGTGGCTCAAGTAAGTGTAAACAATATTTTAATAAATATATCTAAATTTATTATATGTTATTTTATATTAAATTCATGTTTAAAATTTTTTTTTTTGTTTTTTAATAGTTATTACCATCCGGTCAAAGTCTAAAACTTTATATTTCCGTGAACGGGGAAACCTTTGCCGAAGCACAATTCCCACCCGGTTTGGCGGTACCTCATAACGCCTTTACAATTTTACAATCAAACACTCACTCAATTGCACTTCATGTTACTGAAACAACTCATACTTTATGGGGAAATATCTTAAAATCAAATTCCAATGGAACTTATTATGGTTTATCATTGGAAAGAGTTAATCGAGACGACTATGGTTTTGTGGATTTTGAAAAAATGCAAGGTATCGAAGGGATCGCTATTGCAAATGTGGTTTTTAATTATCAAAAAGTTATTATGGGATCGGCTAAAAAGTTACAGTCAAAGATTACATTTAATGATGGTAAGTAAATGTTTAGTAATCATTCTATATTTATTTCTTATTTCTTATTTTATTATTTATATTTATATTTATATTATTGTAGGAGGTACATGGCAATCATTGACTAGTCCTAACCTTGATTCTAACAATAATACGTACGATTGTGGAAACAATGTAATTATAAATTATTTATTTATTTTCATTTTCATTTTATTGATGGATTTTTTATTAATATAAAATGATTTTCTATGTGTATTATATATAGTGTTACTTACATCTTCATAGTTATACCGAACGACGAGATCCTCGTGATTCCTTCAGCAGTTCTTCAGCTACAGGATTAATGATGGGTGTAGGAAATGTTGGAGAATATTTAACTAATTATTTAGATGGTGATACTTTCTTAACTCGTGACGCGGGTTTAACTTGGAATGAAATTAAGAAAGGTGCTTATATGTATGATTTTGGAGATCAAGGTTCTATTTTGATAATGGTAGATGATGAAAACCCGACAGATCACATATTGTAAACTATCCCAAATTTTCATTTTGTTTCTCCTTTTCTCTCTTTTTTTCTTTCTTTTTCTTTTATATATTTATTATTTTTATTATTATTATTTAGATATTCATTCAATGAAGGTTTGAATTGGGTTGATTACCAAGTAACTGAATCCAAAAATCTAATTAAATTCCATGATATCGCTACTTCGCCGGGTGGTCTGAGTAGTAAATTCATTTTACGTGGTCGTTATATGGGATCTTTCGATAAAGAAGTTATTGTTTTCCTTGACTTTACTGGAATATTACCTGAAAAATGTTTGTATATATACACATATATATGTTTTTTTTTAATTATTTGTCATTAATATGTTTCTTTATGCTTCGCCAATTGATAATTCTCAATTCTAAATTGTTTCTTAATTATTTTATTTAGGTATATTAAATATTAATGATCCAGATAATGATGACTATGAATTATGGTCACCTACCCACCCTAACAATGAGAAATGTTTATTCGGTCATAAGGTATAAAATATTGATAAATTAAAAAACTTATTATTATTATTATTATTATTATTATTAAATTCATTAAAATTTTTTTATATTCTAAAGACACAATATTACCGAAGAAATCTTACTAAAAATTGCCAAGTTGGGGATGATATTATTTCCCACAAAGAGATTACGGAAAATTGTGTGTGTACATCGCACGACTTTGAATGGTGAGTGATAATAATCCCTTTTCAATCGCCCAATAATTTCTCGATAATTTTTCCATCATGGTGTTAAATAAAGTTTGTTCTTTTTTTTTTTAAAAAAAAAAAAAAATAGTGATTATAATTTTATTCGCGATGGCGACAACTGTAAAATAGTAGATGGTGCCCAACCTTTACAAGCTAATATCGCAGAACAATGTGCTAATAATGGAGGAGAATTCTATTACGAAACAAATGGGTATGTTTCTAGTAAATTATTATGAATTTATTGTTTGAAAGTATATTCTTTAATTATAATTCTTAATCATTGAATTATTAAATTATTATTATTATAATTTAGATTCCGTAAAATACCATTTTCCACTTGTAAAGGTGACGAAGCCAAATTCTTAGGTACTCAACACGAATGTCCTGGTCTTGGTCGCAGTACTCTTTTATGGGTTATGATAATTTTATCACCTTTCATTATTGTGGGAATTGTTACCGCGTGCTATGTTTACAGAAGACGAGATCGATTCGGTTACTCGCCGTTGGGGTTAGTATAAATATTTTTACAGATATAAAAGTTATATCATCATTTATTCATATTATTTCTTTTTTTTTTTTAGTCAAATCCGTCTTGGAGATCATTCTTCCCCAACTTCATTCATACTTTCAATTCCATCCCTATTTATGGATATGATTTATTCAATAAGAGTACCTAGATCCGTTTCTCGAGCATTTTTCAAGAATTTTACCAGGAAATAATAATGGTGGTGGTAGTAGAAATAGATATCAATATAGTCCTGTGGCAACGGATGAACCATTAGGAGTTTCTTTAGAAGATTATGATAATGACAATGAATAATTATAAGTTGTATCATATATATATATATAATTTTAAACTTTTTTTTTAAACTATTTTTAAAAATTTTTTTTTTTTAGTTTTCGCTTGTATCTTTTTTTTTTGTTTTGATAATAATAATGAGAGCAGATGATAATAATATAATATTTTATTTTATTTTAAATAAAATAAAAATATTAAAAAATATTTGAATTTTTTTTTTATAATTTCAATTATTTCAAATGTACATAAGATAAATGGGTAACAAATATATTTTATTGTATTTCTTTTTTATTACATTTATTATCTTGAATTTTCAGACAAATGGATAATTTTAAGAAGCAAAAATTTCCGGAAAGTTTTCATTTCAAAAATTTTCAAAGTGAAGATTTCCACAGAAATTTTTACTTTGAAAATTTTCAAATAAAAAAGTTTTTTATTATGTAACACAAAATGATCTTATTTATTTACTACTAAATAATTATACTAAATGATCTTGTTTCAAACTCTTTCAAAAATTATTATTCATAAAATTTTAGAATTTTCAAAAACTTATTTATTTCTCAAGTATATTAAATATAATACAAATTGTAATAAAATATATTATTATAATTATTGATTTGGAATTGGAACTTTGGCACCTAAACCTCTATGAGCATGTAACAAATATAAAATAAATTATAATAATTAATTTTGAGTTTTTTTAATAAATTATAATTATATAAAATATTTTACTTAATTTTACTTACCAATATGCTTTTGTCTTTTATTATTATTGACATCTGGCATATCTTTTTGTTTAGAAAGAGCTACAGGATAACTCTTTCTTGTAGTATTTAAGTTTGAATTATTGTGAAGGTTTTGAATTAATTTAGCATTATCAATTTTTATATTATTGAAATTGTCTTCTGGATAAAAAAAATTCTTATGAACAAAATAAATAATACTATGTTTAATTTCATGGATTAAAAGAAAGTTACTATGAAGTAAAAAATAAGAAGAGAATAACCAGGTTGAAATATACAAAAGTGTGAAGTTAAGAAAAATAAAGGTCATCTCCTTGAAAATTATCTAATGGTACTAAGCAACATAAACAATTCAGTATATTATTTTATTTCAATAATAATTACTAACAGTATTAAAATTAATAGCAATTACTGGAAATATTTCAAAAGGTTTTGAAGCAAAAGGACTAGTGATATAATTCAGATGATCCATCTGATCTGTCAATCTGTATTTTAATCCATGGATTATTCACGGATTATTCATTTAATTCACGGATTATATAGATCATCTGTTCAATCCACAAGTCATCTGTTCAATCCATTGTTATTATTTTTTTTATCCTCTTCGTTGTCATTACATTTTCACTTTCGTTCCTATCCATCACATCCCATTACCATTAATCTTCACCTATATAATTTTCCTTTTAGTTGTCATCATCCCCTTCTACTTATTTTTCTCTTTTCTTAATATTACTTATTAATACTTATTACCACTTACTTTCACTTATCCATTTACATTATATTACTCACTTCATTTTTATCCTCTCCACCATCTCTCTGTTTTCCAAATTCGTTTTAAAAATCTTGATTCTTTATTCTCTTTCTCCTATATTTATAAATTCTTTCGGCTGTGTCTGTTATGTACTATATGACTTCTGATATACTGCAAACTGCAGATGCTGCGGTCTACTACGGATTACTGCAGAAATTACCATTTTACTTAGATGGTAACCACTCTTCCTAGCAAAAGACCATTCACCAAGGTGAAGATGCAAATGTTTTAAACTGCTACCACCTCCACAGTAGCCAAGAAGCTAAGCAAGACTGGAATTGAGTCTATTTTATTATTTTCTTTCTTTTTTCTTCTTTCATCATGTAATTAATTGATAGATTAATTTATATTTTTAGAATAGAATTGAAATAACTATAAAAGTAGCTTTAATTTTTTTTTCTTATGTATCAATCAATCAATGAACAAGTGATCAATTATTAATGAACAATTAAGTATCAATCAATATAGAACAAATAATCAATCAGTGATTACTGAATTTTGATTAACCCTTTAAATAGTTTTTGAGTAAACACAGAATAGATTTTTTCACTTTCTTTATTTCTTTTTGTATTTTTTCTATTTTCTTAATAAAATCTTTATTTTATTTATAAATAAATTATACACATGTTTATTTTTTTTCTTGCATTTGTTTATAAATTATAAATAAAGTTTATATTGTATAATCCAAAGTCTTAAAATAAACTATTGATCTTTAATTTTTCATTCAAACTGTTATGTGACTTAGCTGGAACTCACTTTCTTCATTCTTTAAACCCATTCATCCTTTAACTCTTTACAAAGTTCTAGTGAAACTATTTCATTTTGTTTTTTATTGTCTTTAAATTAGAATTTATCATATTTTCTCTTCTCTATATTTAATATTCTTCCTTTAATTATCCCTTCTTTATTTTATTCAGTTTTTTTGCCTTTATTGCTCTATAGTATAAAAAATTAGGTACTTTATTATTATTTATCTTTTCATACTTCCAAAACTTACTGATAACTATCAGGTTAAATTCAAGTACTTGTTGTACTTGTCTCCTCACTCTTTCAACAGGTAGTATCATTATGGATTATCTGTTCAATTCATAAATTATTTTTTAATTTATATTCATACATTTCTCCTATTTCTATTCTACTTCTCCTATTTATATTACCATTTTTATATTACCTACTTTTTCCATTTTTATATTATCACATTTCTATTATTACCCACTTTTTCTACTTTTATATTATCTACTTTTTCTATTTCTATATTATATACTTTTTCTATTTCTATATTTTCCACTTCTATATTATCCACTTCTCCCATTTCTATATTACTCACCTCTTCTATTTCTATATTAACACTTCTCCCATTTCTATATTACTACTTCTATATATTACACTTTTCCATTTCTATTATTTACTTTTCTTATTATCCAATTCTCCATTTCTATACTATCTACTTTTTTCACTTCTATTATCTACTTTTTCCATTTCTATATTACCCACTTTTCTATTATTACCCACTTTTATATTACTCACTTTTTTCACTTCTATATTATTCACTTTTTCCATTTCTATATTAACTCACTTCTTTATTATTATCTACTTCTATATTATCTACTTTTTCTATTTCTATATTACCCACTTTTCCCATTTCTATATTAACCTACTTCTCTATTATTACTCACTTCTATATTACTTACTTTTTCCACTTCTATATTATCCACTTTTTCCACTTCTATATTATCCACTTTTCCTGTTTCTATATTATCTACCTCTTCTATTTCTATATTATTCACTTTTCTCATTTTTTTATTATCCACTTCTCTTATTCTATACTACACTATACATGTTCTCAAAATTGATTTTGAATTTTTGAGGTATTTTGACTTTTTGAGATTTATGCAGAATCTATTCTATATATAGAAGTAAAAAAAGTATTCAGTTATGTGTATATTCAATCAAAGAATAAATCTGGGTTATACATGTTTCCAAAATTAATTTTGGATTTTTGAGGTATTTCGACTTTTTGAGATTTATGTAAAATCTATTCTATATATGGAAGTAAAAAAAGTAC